TGAGTGAGGCTATGCAATTGCCTTCGCTCAGGTGGTGTTCCCCAAGCTCTGTAGGACTGGTGAGGGAGTCCACTTCTATTGAAATAACCTGAAATGCATATGCCTCATTTGCTGCATTTTCCAAAGGTAAAGCCAGTTTAGTGTCTGTTTGAAGTCCAGTTGGGCTTCAGCTACTAGGTGCTTTTGCATGTTTACATCATTAATCCCACATACCAAACAGTCTTTTACCATCTCATCAAGGGTCAAACCAAAATCACATGCCTCTGCCAGTCATCTTAACGTAGTCAAAAATCCTGATATGGATTTCCCTGGTTCTTGAATCGTTGAGTAAAACCAATAGCGCCTCAGAATTACAGGAGCCTTGGGGTTGTAATATTCCTTAACTGAATCTGTCAACTCTTGAAAGGTTTTAGTATCTGGTGCTTCAAGGAAAGTTGGGATCCTCATAACTGAAAAAACTGTGGGTCCACAAGCTGTCAGGAGAATTACTCATTGCCCCAATGTCATTTGCCTGGAAAAAGTAACGCATACTTTCCACATACTGGGCCCAATCTTTGAGGGCAGAATCAAATGAAACAAGCTTCTCAAATAAAGGCATAATGCCAGAACTGCTTACCCCCAAACACAAAGACAACTGTTGCGAGTGAACTTCTTTAGGAACATGCTTTTCTCTCATCGCCACTGAAATAACGCCACAGAGGCTGGAATCCCGTCACCAAGTCACCCTTTATTTACATGTACAGCATCCTTGACACTGATCCAGCTTTCTCAGAGCCAGCTCTCAGAGTGAGCAGGATGTCTGACACTCTTGTTCTCATCTGTCAGCCAGGGCTCCCTGATTGGACCAGATTAACAGCCTCAATCAGGGAACTCATATTCCATGACAGCCATCTGGCTGACTTCATTACAATCACTACATCGAAATTGGAGACAAGTGGTGGATGAGCTGGAAATGAAGCCAGTGAGGATTAAGAGTATCTGAATTAAATTAATAAGGTAGAAGTTGAATACAAAAAGTTGTGAAAAATGGTCCAAGCAGGAGAAATTTAAAGGGTTTGATTCATTTTCACATGGAATAAAACAATAATTTTAAATCCAATCATAATAATAATAATAAAGTATCCAAACTTTGGTGTCATCTAGTCCATGTAAATGTGAAGTTACAGAGTCTGGTACATCTTTTCTGTAAGCCTGTTGCTAGTTAATTATTTTTAAAAAATGACATAAACAGTAAACTATGATGAATCTGCAAGGAGGGCAAAATAAAGGTTTGGAAGGTGGGGTGGGATTTCTATTGCTGGACACCGTATTTCCCACCAGAGCTGCACCAGTAATGGGCTGGATTTGGTGCCTCCGTGCTGGTGGATTTCAAGGTGGGGCAGTATGTAATGTCCAGAAGGTGCCTTTGCTACGACCTACCTGCCCATCCCTGGCAAAGAGTCATAAAGTCATACAGCTGCATTTTACAGTAAAGGATGGGGGTGGGGTACTGGGCAGCTCATCTACATTTGGACATCTTGAGGCTCTTAAGTGGTCAATTAATGGGCACTTCAGGCCATTGTTTCACCAGTGCCGGGTTTTACCCATCTTAGGTAATGTCATTTGTACAGGATTGTCAGATTTAACTGGTCTCAGGTAAGAGGTGGGAAAGTGGAATTGTACCCCTACTCACACTCACAGCCCCACTACTGAGACTCCTGACCACAGACACTGTCAGTTCTAAAGATCAGCCATACTGCACTTAAAATATTAAATCTGTTTCTTCCTCTACCAGACGCACTGAGTTTCTGCAGAATTCTCTGTTTTTGTTTTTGATTTCCAGAATCCACAGCATTTTACTTTTACTGACCTGTCAGTCCTGGCTCCTCCACACTGGGAACAGCTTCTAATCCCAGTATTGGCCACCATTCCCGACTGGTTCTGTTTGATCTACAGGACACGTTGGCAGCACTTGCTTGCAAGAATTGAGTTGAAGTCTTGCCTCAACGCAATTAATGCAGCTCCTCATGTTAAATTGCAATTTGGCAGCCATTGGGATGATGTATGGTCCCCCCTGATGTTTTAGATGAGGATAGGGTTTGAGTTAAAGACCCTGGATCTCTGTAAAAGTCCTTTTAAATGTTTCAAATATCTTTACCGTAGGAGACAGTGATTTCTAAACCTGTCCCAAGGTGGGAGTCTTCCCCTGGTCATAACACTACAGTTTTATATCAGCTAATCTACTCTTTCATGGGGTGTCGGCATAATTGGTGAGCCTAGCATTTGTTCCCCATCCCTAATTGTTGTTGAACTGTGTGACTTACTGGATCACATTTAGATCAGACCTGGTAAGGCGCAGCAAATTTGTTTCCCTGAGAGATGTTGGTGAATCAGGTGGGTTCATGTACAACAATCGCTTAGATTGGCTTCATTTTCCAGATTTATTGATTTGAATTGAAATCTCACCAGCTGTACTCATGGACCAATACCCGAGAACAGTGTTCTGGATTACTAGTCGAGCAATTATGACCATTTATACCGTCATCTCCCCACTTGGTTTCCACTTTATGAAGCCTCTCTTTCAGCATATGTCTGAAACACAGATTCAAACATTCAATGACTCAATTTCCACTGCTGTGTGGGATATAGAATCCAAACAATTCATACTTGGTAGTTTGCATCATTTACATATAGGATCCTGCAGGGAATTGAGATGGTGGGTACAGGGAGGATATTTCCTCTTGTGGGGGAGAATAGAATGAAGGGGGCTAGTTTTAAATTAAGAGCTCTTTCAGCATATACCTTGAATAAAACTTAAGGAAACCAGCAGGAAAGAGTTTTGAATGCAAATTGTGTGCAGTATGAACGCAGTAACTAGGCACCAATTTAAAAGGCTTATTTTCTTGTGATAAACCCATTTTGAGTCACTTTCATAAAACTGAGTTGCCACTCTTAAATGTGTCAAGGTATTTTTTTACAAACAACACCTTTTAAATAAAACATTCCTCTTCTGAATCACTGTTAGATCATGTGGGCCAATATTATCTTCAGCAAAGTAGAAACTCAAAATGAAAAGGATCGCAGAAAACCTGAGTAATCTTGGGTGCAGTGTGTACCAAAATCTCTGATTGTGTTGAAAATGGAGATTTCAGGCAAGGGTTCCTGTATTCCATCAGCCTTCCTCGCCTCTTCTTAAATTTAATGCTAGAATCCTATTGTGGCAAAATTATATTCCTTGTTTATGCTTTGGCTTGGTGGTTGCTCTTTAAAATCCACTGATTGTGAATCGAGACTTCAATGTTTAAAACCGTTAAATCAATCCCAGTATATTGTTGCAAGTTTTATTAGTCACAGACTTGAGGGAAATTACTACATATTTCAAGAATGAACAACATTATGTGACTGGTTCAGCTTGTATTTGACAGAACCTCCTTTTTGAAATTTGAACAATCAGATATTCGAAATGCAGAGTGTCCTGCAACATTTTACCAGGTAAAGAGACTGACTATAATGTTTTAACTGCAATTAAGCAGGGAAAATATCTCAAGTGAATTTGAGGTTGAAATTCATCAAGTAAATTAAGTTTCAACAATTTAAAGGTGAAACATAATGCTGAGGGCTCAGTTACAGAAGTTAGTGAATGTTTCTGGAATTTCAAAGATTCAGTTTATTTAAGTTAGGGACATAGGGATCTGGGTATCCTTGAACATGAGTCTCAACAAGTAGGAAGATAAATGGAATGTTGACCTTTATTGTAAGGAGGACAGAGTATAAAAGTCTGTACCATTATTCACAGCATTGTTGAGATCTCATTTAGGATACAGTTTGAAGTTTTAGTGTCTCTTTTTAAGTAGGGATATACTTAATTTGGAAGTAGTTAAGAAAATGCTCATTAGAATGTTTCCTGGGATGAAGAGATTATCTGATGAGGAAACATTGAGCAGGGTGGGTCCATCCTCATAGGAGTTTGTAAGAATGAGTCACGTTCTAAGGTTCTGTGATGTTGGTACTTGACAGAGTGGATGCTGGGAAGATGGTTCCTGTAGGGAATCTAGAACTAGGGGTATAGTTTCGAAATAAGGGGTCTCCCATTTTGGTGTGGATGAGAAGGGATTTCTTCTCCCTGAGGGGCATCTGAATATGGAAACATAGGACTTGGAAGCCAGAAGGCCATTCAGCCCTTCAAGCCTGCTTCACTGTTCAAAGAGATGTTGGCCGATCTGGCTGTGATCTCAGCTCCAATTTCCTGGCTGTCCACAGTAATCCTCGACTCTCTCATTGTCAAAAGCTACCCAACTCAACCTTGATTAAATTCAGTGATTCAGCCTTCACTGCTCTGTAGGGAAGAGAATTCCATAGTCTAATAACCCTCAGAGAGAGGGAAAAAAATTATTCTCATCCCTAACTTAAAATGGAGAGCTCTTATTTTAAAACTACCGCCCTTCATTCTATTCTCCCCCACAAGAGGAAATATCCTCCCTGTACCCACAATCTCAATTCCCTGCAGGATCCTATATGTAAATGATGCAAACTACCAAGTATGAATTGTTTGGATTCTATATCCCACACAGCAGCGGAAATTGAGTCATTGAATATGCTTGAATCTGTGTTCAAAATCTGATCGACAAGGGAATTGTGGGTTATGGGAGCAGATGAAAAAGTGCATTTAATGCCACAAAGAGGTCAGACACAATCTCATTGAATGGAAGAATTGGCTGAAGGGATTAAGGGGCTAAACCAGGCTCCAATTTCTTATCCTCTTCTCATGCTCTTAGGCACAGCCATAAATTTGTCTGGAAATTCTTAAGTCAGCTCTGAACTTAACTAAAATTTGTAAACATTGTGGCCAATGTGATTGGGACAGTTGCATTTGAGAGAGAACACAGAGAATCAGCTTCCCAGAATGATACAGTAGAGCTGTGAAATCATGAAGAGTGGCACCCAGCATTATCTTAAATGCTCCCCACCATGGATTCAACAGACATTTAGCAGATGCTCATTATAAAGCATGCAGGCCTGACCTGTTGGTGGCTAGAATAGCCCGGAAAATGAAAACGTAGCAGTAGATGATGATGCCCAAAGGAATGAAGAAGACAAAGCAGAAGAGAAGCATGGTGTAAGCCCGGACAGATGGGGTGAATGTTGTGTAGTCCCACGTACAGGAGGTCATCAATCCTTCAGGCACATAGGCACCTAGATACAACAACAAGAACAACGTGTAGATGCTGTAAGTCAACTTTCAGATAACTTTCTCTTATTCATTTCTGGTACACTGGTCAGCATTTATTGCCCATCCCTAATGGAACAATGACATTTGTAGAACAGAGTGAGAGATGACCTTCATCCTAATGATCAAGATGTAGAATCAGTTTGGGTTGAGATTAGTTATAAGAAAGGTCAGGAGTCACTTGTGGGAGTAAGTTATAGTTACCTTAACAGTCACCACACTGTGGGATGGAGCACTAAGGAAGAAACAATGGAGATTTATGAGAAGGTGGGGTGAGAATCGTGGATGATGTTAATTTAAATATAACTCAGAAAAATCAAATTGGCAAAAGTAGCCTGGGAGATGAGCTCATAGAGTGTTTTCTTACAGAAGCATATTCCAAAGCCAATCAGAATGCAAGCTTTCTAGATCCGGTAATGTGCAATGAGACATGATAAATTAATGACCCCATAGTAGAAGCATCCCTGAGTGGCAGTCATCATAAAATCATTTAGTGAGGGAGAAAAAGGTGGGTCAAGACTAGTATTTTAAACTTAAATAAGCGCATCTATGAGGGCATGAAGACAGAGTTGGCCAGCATGGACTAGGAAATTAGGTTAAGGGTCGGTCAGTGGAGATGACAAGGGCCACACATTTAAGGAAATATTTTGTAACACTCATTTCAGTCAGAAAGAAAGACTTGAGGAGAGTGACACATCATCCACAATTCCATGAAGACTAGTGGTATAAGGATTACAAGAGTTTATAAAAAAAAGAGTAAATTAAGAAGGGAGAAATTAGAGAAAAGAAAAAACTAGTTAGAAATATAAAAACAGACAGTAAGAGCTTCTACACTGATTGTATATATGCCATTTTTACGGTTAGGATTTCAAACTAGTAGCTTATAGATGTCAGTTACTTTTTTTGAATGGTTAGAAAAAAGTTGGTAGATCAGTCAGTCTTTCTTGAGCCATGACCTAATCCAGTTTGTGTCAGGGAGCAGGCAACCCCAGGTGTGTTAATGACAGATTGCTTTATATTGTGGGATTTACAGTCAGGAGTGTAAACTTTGAGGGCTATTTGCATATTTTTGCATTAGGATAATCAGGAAATGATTTTAGTTTAGGAAACCCAGAGATTGGAAGTTTTGGAAGACATTTAGGAGTAGATCTGTCTGGGATAAGAAGCACAATACAGGTGGAAAGATCATAGAGTCAGACAGCACAGAAGAGGCCCTTTGGCCCATTGAGTCTGTGCGAAATGAAGTGTATGTTAAACAGTTCACTGAATATGTTTAGATTCATTTTATTGTTTTTCCTTTTGCATAACAAATGTCTATTTTATTGTTAAATAAAATCTACAGCCTTGTGTGCGCCTGTTTCAGTGAACGATTGCCACATTAAATAAAAAGAAACATATGATCTACCAAGCTAGAGCCCACTCTGGGATCTGACTTGTCCAGAAGGCACATCAGTTTGGATCATGACATCATGTAGTCAAAGAGGAGAAGAGTAAGTAAAGTGAGCGTTGGTCCCTGAAAGAGTGAGCCTGTCGAAGTAGTAACGGAAACTTGGAGATAGTGAATGATTTGAACAGAATACATCTGTCTCCATTGTAGAAGATACAAATAACATCCCATAAATAATAGTAAATCAAGAGATAAAAAAGAGTGAAGAACTTAAAGCAATTACAATCGCCAGGGAAAGGGCACTGAGAAGGCTATCAGAACTAAAAGCTGACAAGTCCTCAGCTAATGACAGACTTCATTCTACTGAAAAATTGCTTCAGAGTTGGAGAATTGATCCTCTCACTGGAGGTTGGATTCGAATCTGAAGGAGAAAGAGTACTCCTCTAACAATTGCTCTAATTAAATGCTTTAAAAAGACTGTGACAATCAGCTTCTGTGTTTCTCACTCTGGCTCCTATATGTATTTTCCTCCTTTCTTACTTCTGTGTATGTCTGAAGTTTGATGACCTGGTATTGATTTATCTGAAAATTTGAGACTGCTCCCTTTTCTCTGCTCCTCTTGCTATGTAACAAATATGGATTTTGAACTGAAAAATATTAGTGACTAAGTCAATCGAATGGGGCCAGTAGATCCTCAACAAACACAGAGAATGCTGGAGAAAGTCAGCAGGTCTGGCAGCATCTGTGGAGATAGAAACAGAGTGAACATTTCAAGTCCATTATGACTCTTCCTCAGTACATCCTCAGCATGAGTTTGTTTTCCATGTTCACCACTTGATTTCACCCTTGGAGGATAGGGTGCAGCATTAGAAAGGCTCACATGATGACTGACAACATAAACACAACTTTTGTGGTAATCTACAAGCCCTGACATGGGACATGAACCCAAAACCTTCATATACTGAGAGAGGTGGTACTGCTAAATGAACCACAGAACTCCCAACAATGTGAGTGATGCATTATTTAGAAGGTGATCAACCTACATTTTGAGATGTGATTTCAACTAAAAACATCAAAGTGCATTGCAAGGTCACAATCATGTGATTGCAGCACAGGCAGGTCAGATTATAACCATTCTGTGTGTTGTTTGACCCTGGGAACTTACTCATAAACATGATGACAGGGCACCTCTGTTTAAGGAACACTTCATGCTTTTTATACTTATCCTGACCTTAAACACTGAACTTGATGACTGAGCAGCGAGCAGTTGTCTATTTGAGTTTTGCAGAGATATAATGTGAAATTATTTCGCCACAGGCAGCACTGTCAAGACCAGATGCCAGCTGAACAGCGATGGTCCCCACTTCAACTGAATAACTACAATATTATTTTTCTTCCATTTTCACAGGAACTGTTTTCAGATACTTGTGCATTGCAGTAACCATGGGACTGCTACACTGAGTTGAAGATCGAGGACAAGACCAGCCTGGGTTCATTGGCCCCGTGATTCCAAAACTTGGCAACTCACACTGTCTTTGAAAAACAAGCAGCTGTGGAGGCAGGAGTGAAAGGGTTCAGTTTGATCTATCTCGTCCTGATGAATATCTTGCAGGATTGCATTGATAGTCCAATCTGTGGGAAATGAAAGTGGCGGTGGAGAGTGTTTGTGTGTGTCTGTGTGTGTGTGTGTGTGTGTGTGTCTGTGTGTGTGTGTGTGTGTGTGTGTGTGTGTGTGTTTGTGTGGGGTGGGGGGGAGGTGGTGGTGGTGAGTGAGGGGGTGTAATGGATGGGATGGTATGGGTGAGATCTTCTTTTGATTTGCTCATGGGAAGTTGACACTGATGGCAGGAAAAGCCATCCTTTATTGCCTGTTCTTGGTCAGTATTAACCCCCAGGATGTTGGTAGCAGGGGAATTCAGTGATGGTAATGCCATTGAAAGTCAAGCAGCAACAGTTAGATTTTTCCATGTTGGATATAGTCATTGCCTGGCACTTATGTGCCTCAAATGTTACTTGCCCCTTGTCAGCCCAAGCCTGGCACTTGTCCAGGTGGGGTGGGATGGGGTTGCTCTAGACCCTTTCATTAATTTGTCTAAAATTATTCTGGGAACTTGAGCATGGTTCATAGAATCATAGAATGGTAACAGAACAGTAGGAGGTCATTCTGTCCATTTAGTAAGTGCTAGCTCTCTGTCACAACCCAGCTCGTACAACTTCACACCCTCCTCCCCACCTCCACCACCTTCTCATCAAATTTTTCTGTGGCAGGATCTTTTCTTTTCAGGTAATGATCCAATTCATTTGTGAAAGCCACAATTGAACCTATTTCCACATGGAACATTCCTGATCCTGACCACTTGCTACATTAGAAAGGATTACTCATATCTATAGAAGTATGTCAAAACGTCAGGGTATGTCAGGAGCATAATACATTGAAGGATCATATTTATCAAAGTGGACATGGAGGGAGTATCTTACAAATTGGCATTTTCCTCCATAATTCCGGTACTCATAATTATTGCCTATCCAATTCTCTATCTCTGTGCTACAGTGTTTCAATGGGCCATCTCTAGACTTGGTTTTCCAGCATTCACAGCATTTCAAGTCTGGCACATTTGAAGAAGAGTCATATCAGACTTGAAACGTTGACTGTTTATCAGTCCAGAGATGCTGCCAGACCAATTGAGTTTCTCCAGAATTTTCTGTGTTTATACTTGAAATAATGAATTGGATTTCAGGTTCTGAGCTGGGAACCTAATGTTTGGGGTGGACAGCAATCACCCAGCGGCCATTTTTCTTGAATTGGTTGAAGTCTTGTGATGGGCTCACCTCACTCTCCAGCCATAAAAGCACTTTAGCTGGCAATTTTGGTAAGGGAGAGACAGGGTGCTTCCATTTTGAGGTGCCCTCTACTAGCTTTTAGAAGATCGAAACTAAAAGACGACCTCCAGAACCAAGCCACCACTGTGGAGGAAGTGTCTTTCCAAATGGTGCCCTCCAGCTATAGCTATGGCTAGGTAGATGGAGAGGGCTTGAAGGCAGTCTCAACTGCTTGCCTCCCCAGGGGTGTTGCTGGGAGGCATTGTCCAAGGTATGGTCCAGTTCTAGATGCCTTCTAGTGGCTTTCAGGCCAGACCCAGACCCGAAACGTCAGCCTTCCTGCTCCTCTGATGCTGCTTGGCCTGCTGTGTTCATCCAGCTCTACACCTTGTTATCTCAGATTCTCCAGCATCGGCAGTTCCCACTATCTCTATTAGATCCTGTTGGTTTTAAAGATTGTAATTTTTCACTGATCATTGGAATATTCCACCTTTATTGTGGGTAATGTATCTTGTTGGAGAAACAGCCTAACTTTCCTGTCAGAGGGTTTCCAGAATGGAAGCTGCTGTGTTTGAGTTGATGTGTCTCTAACTTAATATCAGAGTTTATCTTAGAGTATTGTGTGGATTGTTTGAAATTCAAACAGTTATTTACATGATTGAAACTTCTTAGAACTATACACAACTTTCAATGGACTTGCCTTTATAGCCAGGAGCAGCATATTCAGTGTCCTTCTTGGATTTTCCCTCAGGGTCAAGCAATCAAGAACCACACAGGGAGCAGTGATCAGACAAGCTTAAGCAAACATTGCAGAAGCATGGTCCCTCCTGTCACTCTGACTGTTAGGTAAAAATGACCCCTAAAGTATCCGTCCAGTGAAGAAGTTTGACATGTCAAATAACCAAGACTGCAGGAATTTCACGACATAGATTCCAAAACATTCTATCATCAGCATTTCCTGCCATAACATCATTTCTCAGTGATACTTACTCCATCCAAAGAAGGGAGGGAGGCTCCAGGCCAGTGAATACAGCCAGACGCCCAGCAGGATGTAAATAGCTCTCTTCTTCGACAGCATTCCAATGGAGGCGAAGGGCTGGGTGATCACTAAATATCTGTCGACTGCAATTACGACCAGTGTGATCATCGAGGTGATTCCAAACAGAGCCCCACAGAAAGCGTACAGCTCACAGCCTGAGAGGAGAGGGCAAAAGGACAGCATCAGCAAGAACTGCCACTGATTAAAGGGTCAATGTCTAGCCTCCACCTTGATTAACATTGGGTTAATTTAGTAATTTTTTTGAATATTATAAATGTGACTGTCATTAAGCACTGAGTGAATTTCCTGTACAAAGATCTTTGAATTGACAGTGCATGCAGGTTACCACCAGAATTAATAATGAAAGCAGAATACTGTGGATGTCTTGTGATTGAGGTTTTATTTTTATGAAGGACTTTGATAGGTAGATGTAGAGAAATGCACTCTTCAAGTAGTTCCTCCAGGCCCATGGGCTCATGGCCTCCTTTAGTCTGGTGGGATTCTACGATTCTCGGATATTTCCAAGAATCCAAAGCTAAAAGACATGGATATAAGAAAGGAAAAAACATCTTTATTCACAGAGTGATTAGAATGTGGAACCCTTGCCATAGAGAGTGGCTGTAGCGTCGATGCAATTAAAGAGAAGGTAGGTAAGTCTATGAAAGAGAAAGGAGACTCATGTGGACCATCAACAGCAACTGCAACCAGTTGAGCGAAATAACATATTTCCCCCAACCTCGCACTGCCCGCTTCTATCTCCTTCCCAAAATCCACAAACCTGAATGCCCTGGTCGACCCATTGTCTCCGCCTGCTCCTGCCCCACCGAACTGATCTCCAACTATCTGGACTCCATTTTCTCCCCCTTGGTCCAGGAACTCCCTACCTATGTCCGTGACGCCACCCACGCCCTCCACCTCCTCCAGAACTTCTAATTCCCCGGTCCCCAACACCTCATCTTTACCATGGACGTCCAGTCCCTCTACACCTGCATTCCCCATGCAGATGGCCT